CCCATGTAGCTGTTCCTTGAACTAGAAAACCACCAGATACACAGGAAATGACCATCTAAGAAAGGTCTAACCCTGGGAGGTACTTGGTTTTATTGCATTCTCGAGGAAGGGAATGCAGAATCCCTCGGGTTCTTCCTGGAATGTGGACAGTCCTCAGTCTCTACTGAGCAGCAGAGAGAAGGTCTAGACCAGTGATTTGAGCTTTTGAATGATACAAAGACCCCACTATAGCACACATGGCATAGATTTTCCACCACTGCTGTACACAATCCCTGACAGCAACAGAGCTAAAGCACTAGCTCCCCGCTGGCCTGACCCTTAGTGCCTTGGACAGGTCATTGATTAAGAGCTGAGCAGAGCTTCTCCCTGCTGCAAAGATCTACGTAGGACTCTAAGAACAAGCTGAGCAGCTGTGAGAGATGGCTCAAAGCCCAAAGAAGTCTTGGATCAATCGATGGGCAAGTAAGGAGGAACTAGCAGGACAAAAGCCTGATCCACAAATTTAGAAGAGAGCAGGTTCTTCGGGCCTCCAACTCTAGATCCCCTCCTAGACGTGCCCCAGAGCTCCCCCTAGGGGAAGCTGAGTAGACAGACAAGGCAGAGGAGTGAGATCAGGTTCCTGCCACAGGCTGTGCTTCCCCTTCTTCCTGGACAGGGCCAGCCTGCCAGGCCAGGGAGGACAGCTAAGGAGGCAGCGCCTCCTGCAGGGGCCAGTGGCACCTGGTCCCACTCACCACTTTTCGGATTTGATCCATCACCACGTCGATGATCTCCTTCCCCACAGTGTAGTGGCCACAGGCATAATTGTTGGCAGCATCCTCCTTGCCAGATATCAGCTGGTCAGGGTGGAAGAGCTTCCTGTAAGTGCCAGTTCTTACCCCATCTTGCAAGGAAGAGAGAGGGGCAAAGGTAAGAGAGGCTGGTCTCACTCCCCAAGGGACACAAGGCCCTAGGACCTTTGTTGTTAAGCTTCCCTGAGTGTAACTGCACGACACAGTGACGGACACCCGGAGCTCCAGAGGCCATTTCTAAAGCCTGGAGCCACCTGGAACTCAGGGTTAAGTATGGGGGCGCCTTTAACAGGCCCTTCCGCTGATCACAGC